TGGGATGGAAACATGGCCACCACAAAGTCCACCCAGCTTCAGTAGATAGAAATCTGTCAGCATTCTTGGAGATAACGTGAACATAATGTTACTCACCAAATCAGCCATCAAGTGTATTTAGTCAGGAAGATCTGTCCCACATCCCAATGCGAATAACGCGAGAAAACGTGTTCTTCTAGCTTTCTGTAAGATACTTGTAAACATTGGCATGATAAGTAAAGTCACGTTACTGTCACTAGCAGTCAGTGGCAGGATAGGTGCAGTCACTTTACTGTCACTAGCAGTCAGTGGCAGAAAAGTGCAGTCACTTTACTGTCACTAACAGTCATGGCATGATAAGTGCAGTCGCTTTACTGTCACTAGCAGTCAGTGGCAGGATAAGTGCAGTCACTTTACTGTCACTAGCAGTCCTAGCATGATAAGTGCAGTCACTTTACTGTCACTAGCAGTCATGGCATGATAAGTGCAGTCACTTTACTGTCACTAGCAGTCATCGCAGGATAAGTGCAGTCACTTTACTGTCACTAGCAGTCAGTGGCAGGATAAGTGCAGTCACTTTACTGACACTAGCAGTCAGTGGTAGAATCAGTGCAGTCAATTTACTGTCACTAGCAGTCAGTGACAGGATAAGTGCAGTCACTTTACTGTCACTAGCAGTCAGTGGTAGAATCAGTGCAGTCACTTTACTGTCACTAGCAGTCAGTAGTAGAATCAGTGCAGTCGCTTTAGTGTCACTAGCAGTCAGTGGTAGAATTAGTGCAGTCACTTTACTGTCACTAGCAGTCATTGGTAGAATCAGTGCAGTCGCTTTACTGTCACTAGCAGTCTGTGGTAGAATTAGTGCAGTCACTTTACTGTCACTAGCAGTCAGTGGTAGAATTAGTGCAGTCACTTTACTGTCACTAGCAGTCAGTGGTAGAATCAGTGCAGTCACTTTACTGTCACTAGCAGTCAGTGGTAGAATCAGTGCAGTCGCTTTACTGTCACTAGCAGTCAGTGGTAGAATCAGTGCAGTCACTTTACTGTCACTAGCAGTTAGTGGTAGAATTAGTGCAGTCGCTTTACTGTTACTAGCAGTCAGTGGTAGAATCAGTGCAGTCACTTTACTGTCACTAGCAGTTAGTGGTAGAATTAGTGCAGTCGCTTTACTGTCACTAGCAGTTAGTGGTAGAATCAGTGCAGTCACTTTACTGTCACTAGCAGTTAGTGGTAGAATCAGTGCAGTCACTTTAGTGTCACTAGCAGTCAGTGGTAGAATTAGTGCAGTCACTTTTCATGTCACTAGCAGTCAGTGGTAGAATTAGTGCAGTCACTTTACTGTCACTAGCAGTCAGTGGTAGAATTAGTGCAGTCACTTTACTGTCACTAGCAGTCAGTGGTAGAATCACTGCAGTCACTTTAGTGTCACTAGCAGTCAGTGGTAGAATCAGTGCAGCCACTTTAGTGTCACTAACAGTCAGTGGTAGGATCAGTGGAGTCACTTTAGTGTCACTAGCAGTCAGTGGTAGAATCAGTGCAGTCACTTTAGTGTCACTAACAGTCAGTGGTAGGATCAGTGGAGTCACTTTAGTGTCACTAGCAGTCAGTGGTAGAATCAGTGCAGTCACTTAAGTGTCATCAGCAGCCGGTGGTTAAATTAGTGCAGTCGCTGTCTTAGACAATGTCTTCTGAGTCGATACCACGAGAAACATTGTCCAACAGGAGCAGATGGACCAACAGCAAGTTGGAGAATGACATCAGAGCAACTCTGTAACGGTATAACTGGTTTGGGTTCCAGACGGCAAGAAGAACCAGAACGCACCTTGTATCTCTCTCGACACCCGAAACAGTAAAACAGGGGAAAGGAGTGGGGGATATAATATACCATAGTAGTCGGTGGTGTAATAACTACAGTCGTTGCTACAGACAGCAAATAGTAGTACTTCGAACAGTTATTATCGGGATAACAAAGTAGACAAAATGTAGACTATATAGACCACACAAATCTATTTTGGGACCATTCTTGAAAATCTTACCCTGTTCTGTAACCATGTATTGACAATACAGGTAACTATTACATATTTCCCGATACACCCACATATAATTTCTCAGGCTGATAAAGGTGTAGTAAACAACTAGAAGTCGCCTGACTCAGTACTCTGTATAAAAACAGAAGTAAAATACAATTGAGGCTACGGGAAAACCCGCAGATCAGTTAACGTAGCGGAAATCCCAGCGTTGATTTCAAACGCCAGTGCCGCCAAGTATAAATGGGCTAAAAATGCGGGACACCAGTCACAAGCTACTCAAACTGCACTTCATCTGCATCCTGATTTCAATCGAGAGCGTTTCTTTTTGTTTTCTGCTTAAACTACAGCCAGTACTGTAAGTACAAGCGAGATTCTCTCAGCTACTTTGTCTGGTCTAGGTTTAAACCTTCTTCTATCGCTGCATCGTTAATAGAATGTCTCACTTACTTTTTAAATGTAGCAGGAGCAGTGTAAGTTTGCCGGGGATAAAGTTTGTAACGATAGGTTTGTTTCAGTGTTAGGATAAAACTGAACAGATGTTACAAATACAAGACGGGAGAAATGCCAGGATTACTTGCACATTAAGTATTCTCTAATTTCAAAGCTAAGCTCCAGCCCTTCTTGTTTCGTATGTCTCCGCTTTCTCTAACAACTGATCTCTTGTTTCGTATGTCTCCGCTTTCTCTAACAACTGATCTCTTGTTTCGTATGTCTCCGCTTTCTCTAACAACTGATCTCTTGTTTCGTATGTCTCCGCTTTCTCTAACAACTGATCTCTTGTTTCGTATGTCTCCGCTTTCTCTAACAACTGATCTCTTGTTTCGTATGTCTCCGCTTTCTCTAACAACTGATCTCTTGTTTCGTATGTCTCCGCTTTCTCTAACAACTGATCTCTTGTTCAGTTTGTCAAACAGCAGCTAGAACACTTACTTCTTCTTCTGCCTTTTATTTCCCTAAGAAGCATATGCCCTCAACCAACTCATGCCAAGTCGTCATATTCTCTGAAATCGCGTTCAGCTCACCACATACACTCGCTATCTTTCGCTCTACTCTCTAGTTCCCTTATCCACACCCCCTCCTCTTATTTCCAGCACTGTAGGTTCCATTATCAAGCCCTTCTAGTTAGTTTATTGTTAGCTTTTCTTAACATGTGTCATTATCCAACGCCAGCGTCTTTTCATCTTTTGATTCACTTCAATTTGCCTAGTTCTTTCCCAAAGGTCCATGTTAATGGTTCTATCAGGCCACATAATTCGCTCTATTCCGCACAGGCACCAGTTAATGGATGTTTGTAGTTTATTAGTAGTTGTTAAAGTTCTCGGTGTTTCCACTCTATACAGCAATACCCAATTAACATTACAGTTAAAAACTGAAAGTCAAGAATTCGTTTTAATTTCATTTGACTTCCACAAATTTTCAGTCAAAACGTTTTGTGCTTTTTGCTGCATTTTAATATAACACTTAGAATCCTGACAGAAACATACAGACAGCAACTCACAGAAATATGACAAACAAACAAACAAACTGGCAGACGAACACAAACAGACAGAGACTGAGACACTTACAGACAAAAAGAGACACACAAAACATGTACACTGAACGGCCTGAATGTATGACGAAAAATAGAAAATATCAGTTCTACCTACACATAATGACATCTTGTCAAAATAGCGATAGGCACGGCCACTGTTTTTAGTCATGGCAAACATTTTGCTTCTGACAGACGATGACCGTTGCATTTTCCTCTATTTGTCGATTAAAAGGATAATGTTTTGTTGCCCACCTACTGAGCTGAGTGCTTGCGCGACAATGGGAGCTGCGGATTTCATTTAAATTGTTTTTTGACTGTGACCAACGTGATGTTTTAAACTGTAGATTCATAAAATGGCGGATGGCCTGTTGCCACAGAATGTGATTAAAATTGATCACGAATGCACTCGCTGATCTGTTTTTAACTGTTGCTTCCGTCCACGCTGAAGTGCATTTCTAATTTCAGACTGCTTGTGTTAGCACTTCTGCTGCTGCCTTATGCTTTCAATCTTTTTATGCGTGTGTATTGTATTTGATAGGCTGAGACTGCAGCCTGTGTCAATTTTTCCACAGAGGACAGTGATGGATATTCTGTGTGGCTTTTTGGTTAGCACAGGAGCGGAGTCACTATGGGAGTTACTCGTGTGGGTTCCAGGACCCTCTAATAGGGAAAACAAGAATAGACCCACTGCCTACCCAAAAGCATGTCGTAAGGGTCAACTAATTGGGAGCTTCCTTCGAAGTCGGAGTGCATCTGCCTGAGGGGCAAGGAACCAGCAGTCTGTATGCCAATGAGTCAGATATGTAAAACGGATGCACACGCAACACTCAGGTTCTGGAACAGGACTGCAATCCAGAAGTGGACGAACAACCAGAATTTTCCTCCAGAGTTTACTGCTGGTGAAGGCGAAGAAGAAGAAGAAGACTATGGGAGTGACCCGTTTGTTAAAAAGCTGCAACTAAAACTACCATGTTTTCCGGTGTATGGTGTTAGCTTGAGAGTATTATCAATCAAATGACACTGGATGGGTCAATACACCGACCGCATTTACTTCCTTGAACTTTCCCTGGTACTTATTTTAGGCTGGGTCCACCTTAAGTCAAGAAACTTTAAAAAAATCGCATAGAGGCGGTCTGGACTCATAATCATCGATCTCTGTGGGCAGACTGATAGCTAACACTCATGCATATGTACATAGACATACACACATACTGCATGTGTGTGCTTGGTTACTCTTAAATTTTTATTATACATGTATAGATACCAGACACAAACATTGGCAGATGGACTAGGGGACAGATACAGACACACACTTGTTATGTTTGCAAAACTGTAGTATATCAGTTATATAACGAGTGGCGTATTATTTTAAATCTGTTGCAGAAATTGCCATCAGCTGGAACGGGCGCTGATTGATGTAAGACACCTGCCAAATAAGATATCGATCAAACTCAACAACAATGCCTCATCTTGCGCACCAGACACTCAAGTCCAGCCCAGATGAAAATGGCAACTGCCACAGACTTTACATTGAACCTTCCAGTGACAAATGCAATAAGCATTTGACGACATATAAAACCAAATTATTTTCCTATGCTAAAAACAAGTTTTCCGATCCTCGCCACGAACAAATCTGCATTGCCAAATTTCCAGCCACTGGCCATGGAACTAAACAGTGGGCCACATTAGAGGTCAGAAAATCCCAGCTGGTCAGAAAAACATCCAAGATGTTCACACAAACTTTTTTCAACAACAGCAGTCAATTAGTGTTTACTTGTCCACAGCATGCCAGCTTGGACGCTGTAGCGATAGGTTCTAGGAAAAGATGCAGAGGCGAATATGTTGTCTTCGAGGACAAGATGGCAAGCTTTGAACATTTCCTAGATAACTCTGGTAGAATAACTGAGTCATCTTCGACATCCAAATCAAGGCATCGCAATAAAACCATTGGCTCCAAGGCGAAATCAACAAGGCAGGAAACATCTTGCCAGCTGCTGAAATCCGATAAGTACCACGGCAGTCTTGAGATGACAACACACACCCAGCCATACATCGTCACCCCTTCTGCTCCTCCTTACGAGGAAGAGCCGTTGCCAAGTTACGAACAGCTGTTCGGAACTTCTGTACATCAAACAGTGATAAACAATAATAACAACAACAGCCACTACTACAACATGAACAGTTTACCTCATCATGAAGATTGGTCAAGCTGTCGTCCACCTGCTTACTCAGAGTATGATCCTGGCGTCCATCATGATCGCCAGTGTTCTCAACCTGTTCACACAAACTCCTGGGATTGTGACCACGGGGACAATGGCCCACATGCCTTGCTGACAGCATTCATCCACTTCGACTTTTGCCAAGCCAACGGGCAGAGAATCGTGTGTAACCTCAAGGGTATGTGTGAGGGGGGCAACAGGTACACCCTGACGACACCCACCATGCATTCTCTGACCGGGGAGTTTGGAAAGAGAGACCAAGGCCAGGCTGGCATGATGGAAGTCATTGCCAATCACGTGTGCTGCAGCTGGTGTCGGCATCTGCCCAGCATGCACTACGTTTTCGAGCAAGCCCAAGTTAACGCTACATTAAGTCTGACATGAGACAACCATCTTGCTATAAGTAATAGCCCAGCTGACTTTACAAGCAGTACAGACAATCAGAAAGTAGGAGACCTATTCTCCAGTGCTCACAATACGACCGATCTACAGTCATAGAATCTGACAGGTGTCGTGATGGGCGATCATATGACATCGCAGCCATTGTCAGCTGTTATTTATTTAAACGTTGATGTTACAGTTCTTCGATGCTCTATATCGAAATAATTGTTTCTTGTGATATTTTACATGATACCATGCCATTGTTTATGGAACATTTGTTTTTTAAAATATAACAATGTTCAAATTCTTGTGCAAAACTTCATTTACATTATCTCTCCCCAACTCCATTTTTCCCTCCACCTGTTCCCAATATCAATAACAAATGTACAATTTATACAGTTTGTAGCGCATTAACATCATTATAAATACGTGTCTAACCACCAGGCGTGGGCATCCATGTCGTTCCTCAGATCTCGGCATTTCGTGTTTTATATCAGTGCCATTGAAGATATTCATCCATGTCCTCCTCTTAACCTAAACCACACGGTATCACCACTCGGGGTCTGCCTATGTCTGTTCTACCTGGTGTTTGTCCCGATAACTGCTGGGACATTGAACATGTTCTGTACCCCACTCGGGGTCTGCCTATGTCTGTTCTACCTGGTGTTTGTCCCGATAACTGCTGGGACATTGAACATGTTCTGTACCCCACTCGGGGTCTGCCTATGTCTGTTCTACCTGGTGTTTGTCCCGATAACTGCTGGGACATTGAACATGTTCTGTACCCCACTCGGGGTCTGCCTATGTCTGTTCTACCTTTTGTTTGTCCCGATAACTGCTGGGACATTGAACATGTTCTGTACCCTATTCTGTCAGCTGAGTCACGTCTACAATTGAAGTAACCACTAGTCATGCTTCCTAATCATAACGGTTGATTTGTATATCTGGTTTCATGACTAACTCATTTAAGTCTAATCTTATATTATTACCAGAAAATGCACATAATTCAGGAAGGGGGTGAATGGTCGTGGACGTATATGAAATATTTTTTGTCAGATGACATATGTGCCTAATTACTTATTAACTGTACAGCCACGAACCCACGTAATAATTGTACATCTATCTACCCCGACTAGGACCAGTAGGCACGCCGGGGTGTGCTTGGTGGAGCCGTTCTAGACACCCTGATTACAATTGTAATTGAAGTTTTTGTAGCTGCTCTAACAGAAAAAAAGACCTGCTCTTTAAGTTCACTGTGCAGCGCCGACAAGATGCTGATGCTAAGCAGCAAACAGATCTTGGGCACATCTCTAAAGTGATAGGTATCAGAGCGATCTAGTTCTTTTCAGAAAGACAACAAAGAAAGGTGACAAATAATTTGTTTACACAGTATCTAAGCCTTAAGTCATTGACAGTTACACATTGTTAGTCGAGTGGACCAACTTCAATGCATAAGATTTATCTGCTCTGACCAGGTCTCTCTCCGTAGACCGGATAGTTGCCTGTTTAGAAAGCGTTGCACAAAGCACAAGCTTGAAAGCTCTAGTAACAGTCCCCAAGGCTCTTCATCAAAATTGCACCGGTCAAAAGAACAAGCTTCTCCAGGAAACGAACATACTGCTTTCAGAGCCCCGGGCAAATGGGTTAATCACGTTGCCTTGGAGACCTTTCATCTTAAAATAACACCAAACGTCTGCCGTCTGGTGATTCTGTGCCACGACACACTCACAAACACACGCACACATATGGAGCGAGAGAGAGATAAAGAAAGAAAGAAAGAGAGGAGGACACACACACACACACACACACACACACACACACACAGAGAGAGAGAGAGAGAGAGAGTGAGAATGTTACCTATTTATTACTTCACTGACTATTTTATGATGACTTAGAAATAGTATTGTGCGCTGTGTTCATGATTATTTATATCGATTTCTACTGATTGACATTTGATTTTATACAGGCTTCCTACAAGTTCGTATTGCTCTTTCTTTCTGTATACACAGCAATGAATAAATTTGTACAAAAGCACACTATACATTGGTGTCGTGTTGTGTGCTTGTAGCACATGTGTGTGAACCTTGCTTGTAGCACATGTGTGTGAACCTTGCTTGTAGCACATGTGTGTGAACCAGAAGTGAAGCTTAAACAATGCTCACATGATCAGTAAATGATTGTGAGGAAAAAAAACCCCACTGCTATTGAAGAGTGTTGACCGGATAAATCTCTCCAGACTTTGTAGCAACGAGAACAGAAGAATAAAGCAGAGAGTGTATGATGTCTCCAGTGAACAAGAAGCAGAAAACAGAATGGTTAAAACATTTAAAAATGTGATTTCTATACTGAGAGATGACATAGATGGACAAATAGGTAGGTAGAGAGAGAGAGAGAGAGAGAGAGAGAGAGAGAGAGAGAGAGAGAGAGAGAGAGAGAGAGAGCGAGAGAGCGAGAGAGCGAGCGAGCGATCTAACTCTAGATGTATTGCGGAAATTAGCAACAAGCATTGCCATGGAGAAGTGGCCGTAAGCAAGATGTAAAATATACTCACAAATAAGAAAATATTCATAACAGTGAGGAGAAGGATATGTCAGTTCTGAGAAGAATACAACAAATGCCATGGAATTAAAAAAATAGGAAATTGATGAGAACAAATAAGCATAGTCGGGGTTTTTGGCACATGTTATCGGGACATGTTTTCGGCACATGTTATCGGGACATGTTTTCGGCACATGTTATCGGGACAAGAAGGACGTGAAAACTTGGTAACAGCTGGCAAGATTGACGAAAAAGGAGCAAATAGAAGGTCAAGAGATAAATATCTGATCGACTTAGCCATATGGATGGGGAGGGACAAGAACACTGACCTGATCCGCGATTCTGGTGATCCTGTAAGATGGCGAACCATGACTGGCTACGCTTTTCGTCATACACCTGATGGTGGTGATAAATGATGATAATACAGGAGAAAGAGAGAGAGAGAGAGAGAGAGAGAGAGAGAGAGAGAGAGAGAGAGGGAGAAAGAGAGGAAGAAAAAAATGGGGACAATGAATTAGAGTGACGCATAAGGAGAAAGATAGCTGCATATATATATATATATATGTTGCGTGCTGATTTGGGAGAGTGTAATAGTGTGTAAAGGGACAGAGTGGTATGGTAGTACTTTCCGGGAGTTCAAGTGGGTATAGAGTCAACATTGGCACGAGTAGTGAGGGGGAGAGAATGTTGACCAGTGAAAATATATTATCACGAACGAGGAATGCACGCCCGTGAAAGTAGACGCGTGGGTTTACTGTGTGGACGCTGACAAACATGGGTAATGAGAAGAACAGAGAAAGACTGAATTACGTGACAGCCTGATTCTCATGTAACATCAGCCACCCACATGAGGGACGGAATGCTCCAATAGTAACTGTTCTGGATGACGATGCAAGGAGACGTAGGGTCACTACGGAAAAAGAACAGTAGGGATGCCGACGAGAGCTGTGTGCTAGAGGGAACTTGTGTTAGAAGTCCTGTCGGTAATCGGAGTCCTTCGACAGGCTGACGTGCTGTGTGGTGGAGAACGGCAAGGAAGTTCGTCTTCAGTAAGCCGTGGTTGTCTGCAGAAATAATATTAAGGTCCAGTGGATAGGAGATTTCGTCCTGTTCAGCTGTACGGCGAGCCCAGAGTTGTGGGACGCTGCAGACCTCTGGAGCTGTAGTGGTCGGGGAGAGGTCGCTACAAGCTGAGAGAGAGAGAGAGGGTGAGGACTAGGAGAGGGAGCGAAAGTTAAACTTTCTGGTCACTTGGAAGTGTGCTGATTAGTGTGTCACTCAGGTGTCACTCAGATCGGACACAACGATATATATATATATAAATAACAGAGAGGTAATTTAGAACTCATTCCATTGACCTTTACACCCCCAAAAAAAGAAACATCCACAGGCGTGTAATAATTAAACAAAGCATTTATTTGGAAGGAATTATGGTCAGGAAAAGTCACCGTGGGCATTCAGGCAAGCATCCCATTGCGTAGGCAGGCACAGAATGCTGTAGAAAAAAGGATTGTGGTTGCTCACTGAATCAAGTGTCTACCGCGTTTATTACGTCTACATATATGTGAAATTGTTGCACTGCACCCTAATGAAAGTTTTAAAGAATGTCTCGCATCTTCGATGCTTACACTTTCAGCACAATATTTACAACATGGGACGAGCACTATCGTGCACCAAATCACACCAACAGTAAGCATGTCTTGACTTTTGTTCTTGGAGGCTGCATACGGCTTGTCTGAAGTTTCCAAGTTAGTGGGTAGAGTTGATGTTGACGCAATGTTCTACGAAGTCTTTCAAGAATAGTCCTTCATGGTCAAAACATGAACTTAGAACAACCTTGCAAGCAGAACTATATAACTTGTATTGTGTGGCTTTTGGTGGTCCAGCTGGCTAGATTAATAGCAAGAGAACAAAGGGAGAAAGAAGCACATGACATGCTCTGTCTCTGGCCCACAAAGTGGTGACACCATGATTCGTCGCCTACTTCTATGATTCGAACATCATCCCTTGTGTTCCTTCTTTTGATGGTCTGTCAACATCCGCTGTACTAGCTGCACACCTTCTGAGACTGCAGTTATTGTGAACAAACTTTTCAAATGTCCTAATTAACACATACAATTTATTTCGATAACGAACATATGCTTCGACAGCAATCATCTAATTTGCTGCATCAATTTTTCGAAAGATTGTCCGTCAGTATTATTGCATATTAATCAATTAATAAATCTGGACTTAGCTAATGATATCTCTCCTCTGTCCCACTCACGGAATCAGACGCAAGACAAATTAAATATACTTGATGCGAGATCACAGCAGCTTGGTCTGAAAATCCATCAGAGAAAGACAAGGATAATGAAAATAAACCAGGCACATAGTCATGTGGTTTCTCTTGAAGGTATCCCACTCCAGAATGTGGACTGGCACATCTACTTAGGCACTAATGTAGATAAAGATATTAAAATACA